GCACACCAGGAGGTTGTGGTGCTGCAGGGGTTCAGTCTTTGTGGGGTACACGGTCACCATAGGTTTAACTGGGGAAGAAAAGGCAGAATAAGTCAGAAAGCAACAGAATCCTCCTTGGTTTACTGTCTTTCTGCCTCTGTCCAATTCCAGGTTGAAATCTCTGCTGGTGATACAAGTTAGAAGAAAAGGGGGAGATGGGGGAGGGGGAGCGGCGTGGCGGTTGCTTGGAGCCCGCTCGTTGGCTCCCCGAAGAGAGAGCGTGGACTGCTGGGCGCCCGTGGCCACCTTTTCGCCTTCCCGGGGAGATGTCCTTTGCTTCCCAGATGTAATGCACCTTAAGTTAATTCAAGAGTGAAATTGAGTCATACAGAGGTTAAATTGAAAATACCTTTTGGAAATAAATTACTGGATGCTGTCTGCTTGGTACCTAACAAAAGCTTATCATATGGGATAATTCTTACACATGAGGCATTGGGAGATATGAATCTTCCCCATTTGATGTCACTAGCATCTCATCTTGCAACTCACGGATTTTTTTTGCCTGAGATTTACCTGTAAAAGCCTTAATATTGTACATAGAATTAAAACATATAAAGCAGTTTTGAATTACCTAAAGAGCTCAGGAGAATACAAACTTGCAGGTGTATTCTTGGGAGGCCGTTCAATGGGCTCAGGAGCAGCTGCCTCTGTAATGTGTCATATTAAGCCAGAAGATGGTAATGATTTTGTTAGAGGTCTCATTTGTATTTCCTACTCACTACACCATCCCAAGCAGCAGCAAAAACTCAGAGATGAAGATCTCTTTCGTTTAAAAGATCCCGTACTCTTTGTGTCAGGCTCCGCAGATGAAATGTGTGAAAAGAATCTGTTGGAGAAAGTGGCACAGAAAATGAAAGCTCCCAACAAAATCCACTGGATTGAGAAGGCGAATCATTCCATGGCGGTGAAGGGACGGTCAACAAATGATGTTTTCAAAGGAATAAATACACAGATTTTGTTTTGGATCCAAGAAATCACTGGAATGGACAAGAAATGATTGTCCTCAGCTGAAAGCTATGAAAGTAAAAAGTTGAGTACAGATATTGTTCTTTATATCAAAGACCAGTATACCTCTCAGAATTATGGTGAGACATATTTCAGACTATTGTTGTTTAATGTTGTCCTATTTTTGAAACACATTTTAATTGTGAAATATCCTTTACAAAATGTCTTTTGAAAGCACTGTTATAGTTGTATGAAGATGATGTACAATATTGAAGGTGGTCTAAATATAATTTATTTTCTTTAGTACAGTTAAGTTTTGGAAAAAAAATTAAACATTTGAATTTTGTTAAAAAAAAGTTAGAAGAAAAGTACCAATCTGGGACAAGCAGGCTACAGGACTTGTAGATGGTTGGATGAATGTATAAAACTTGCCTGACTATGAAATGGGGGTAGGAGGCTACAAAAGAATGACCAAGTAAGAAAACAAAAGAATGAAGAGGAAGTGGCGCTGTGGCTCAAGTGGTAGAGTGCTAGCCTTGAGCTGAAGATATCAAGGACAGTGCCCAGGCCCAAAATTCAAACCCCAGGACTGACCAAAACCACACACACACACACACACACACACAAGAATGAAGAAATAAATATGGAGCTCTGACTTTCAGGAACAAAAAAGGAGAGCTGCTAATTAGAAGTCTGTCTTCAAGGACTCCAATCTTCTGGATTTAACCCAAGGCCAAGGTTTGGGTGGAGAAAGACAGTTGGGATGGGCTGATGAGCTGTCTTCCTAAGCATGTCTATGACACATGCTCTCTTTTCTGCCATATTTCTGAATGAGTATACTTTCCTATCACTTTTACTATGTTCACTGTCTTCTCTGGCTAGACGTAAGGACTGAGGTCACCTTACCTGCCCTAAATTTCAGGTGACATATTTGGTACATTGATGAAGAAGTTAGGGATTAAATATGTCTTTCTCTGGCTTGGAGTCACTGAAAGGTTTCTCTTTAAAATAAAGAATCAGCTAAGCAGGGTGCAGTTGGCTGCTGCCTGTAATCTTAGCTACTCAAGAGGCTAAAATCTGAAGATAACCATTAAAAGCCAGCCTGGGCACAAAAGTTCATGAGACTCTTAGCTCCAATATACTATTCAGAAAAAAGCCAGAATTGGGGCTGTGGCTCAGGTGATAGAGTGCAAGCCTAGAACACAAAGAGGCTCAGAGACAGCTCTCAGGACTTGAGTTTAAGACCCAGAACTGGAAAAAAGAAAGTGAATAGACCCCATTTCTAATCAGTGCCAGGTTGTGCTACTCACCTACGACCTAGAGACTCAGAGGACTGGGTACAATGACGTGAGCCCTTCAATACCAGTGAAGCAAGGAGACACGTGTAGAAGGGAGACAAATGAGACAGATGCAGATGGGAAAATTATATCTTTTAAAACAAATATCAATGGGGCTATGAAGGTGGCTCAGTGGTAGAGCGCTTGCCTTGCATGCCTGAGGCCCTGGGTTCGATTCCTCAGCATCACATAAGCAAAAAGAAAAAAGCCGGAAGTGGCACTGTGGCTCAAGTGGTAGAGCGCTAGCCTTGAGCTGAAGAGCTGAGGGACAGCGCCCAGGCCCAGAGTTCAGGCCCCACGACCGGACCCCCACCCCCAAAAATAAATAAAACAACTATCAAGATTGAGACTAAGAAGTTAAACCCAGGCAAGGAAAAAGCAGTTAAACTTCCTTACCATTCTATTCTGTCTCCTTTTAGATGCTGAGTTTAAGGATGAGAGAGACCTGAAACAGGCTACCTAAAACAGCTGCCATCTTGAATCTTGAATGCCCATTTCCTACATTGGTAGCAAGAAATGTGTCTCTTATTTTCAGTTTCTCCCTGCTTTCTCCCTGTTATGTTAAACATAAATCCTTGCTGAAACCTGCACCTTGTGAGACTCTCTTTGTTAAATACTCTTGAAGTGGGTCTCAAGGATCTTTGTTTTTGTTTTGTTTTGTTTTGATTTTTGGTTGTGGAGCTTGAACTCTGGGCCTGGGTGCCATCCCTCAGCTCTTCAGCTCAAGGCAAGCACTCTACCACTTGAGCCACAGCAACAGTTCCAGTTTTCTAGTGGTTTATAGGAGATAAGAGTCTCACTGACTTTCCTGCCAGGGCTGGCTTTGAACAGCAATCCTCAGGTCTCAGCCTCCTGAGTAGCTAAGATTATAGACATGCGCCACCGGCACCCAGCTGACTTTAGTTTTTTTGTGGAAACTGGAAAGGGGAAGCATTATCCATCATCTGATGACAGAATGATCACAGTCCAGGTTAGGCATAAAGTGAGATCCTAACTTTAAAATAACAGAGATCTGTCTCAAGTGCACCTGTCTTGCAAGCATGAACCCTTGAGTTCAAAGAGGACACCTAGGGATGAGAAAGGCTGCAGTAATTTCTTTTTTTGTATTTCCTTTTGTTCTGTTTTTGAGTCCAGTTCCTAGAGTTAGTTTTCTCATGCTGGGAGCAGAGATGGACACACACACACACACACACACACACACACAGGCACACGTGTGCACACCCACTTCCTCCTCTTTCCCAGGCCGCCTGCCTCGTGCTCACCTCTGCGCTGCACCGTGAAGGCCTCCGCAACCTCGTAGTTGTGTCTGCAGAACCTGTCCACCTCCGCCGCCATCTCCTCCAGGCTGGCCTTTTTGTTCCAGGTCTCAGCCTCGGGCTGCCCCAGCTCAGTCAAGGCTATGAACTTCCTGAGGCTGCTGTCAAAGCGCAGGTACTCTTCCTGGTTGTGGATGCGTCTCTCCATAAAGACCAATCGCTGTGTCCCGTTGAAGAAATGACACTCGCTCTTCGCTTGTAACAGGAAACGTGCTGCAGGGACAGGAGCGGTTACTGGCCTGGGTCTTGTTTATCTCTGACCACAGGATTCGGACTCCTCAAGAAACAGCTCCTCTCCAGGAGCCTAAAATGGTTGGACATAAGATGGAGATGACAGCGACCCCGGAGGACAGAGCCTCCAGGCTGCTGGGCAGGGAGGTGCAGTGTGGGCTAGAGATGAAGTAGGGCACCGTGGAGCAGGGCAGCCTTCAGGGCAGGGCTCCTGACACTTACCATGACCACCGAGAACAGAAGAGGCAGGCAGATCCTGAAATTTTCCACCCATTTCCCATAAAACGTGGGATATTCCTCCCCTCTCTCATTTCATCTTTTTTTGTGTGTGGCTTTTTGTTTGTTTGCGTATTGTCTAAACTAACAGCTCCTTCACCCTTCTAACTATTAAGCAAAATCTCAGGTATAATCTTACCCTTTTCCCATACTTTGTCGTTATTTGCATGGATCTTTGCATAATTTATGCAAAGTCCTGCTCCTCATTAGTCATCTGATATTTATCATTGTCTCTATAACAAGCCACAGGTTTGCCTTCCCCAGAGAATTTTGCTATGATCCTATATGGTCTCCCTACTTCCATATGTGAGCTCCAAGAACCCAATCTCACATATCAGCTAAAAAACTTTAAAATGCAATATGAATCGAAACGCCTTGAAATCACATAGTAGCTTAACAAATTTGTTTTCTTTGTGCTGATCCAACAGCTTGAATTCAGGCTCTGGATAGGGTCTTTTAGCTTTTTGGCTCAAAGGCTAGTGCTTTAACTAATTGAACTACAACTCCACTTGTAGCTTTTTGCTGGTAAATTGGAAATAAGAGTCTCACAGACTTTCCTGCCTGGGTTGGCATCAAACCAGGATCCTCACCTCTCAGCCTCTTGAGTATCTAGGATTACAGACATGAGCCAGTGTGCCCAACAAAATTCAAGTTTCTTACCCTGGCTCTCAGCGGTGTTGTATGATTACACTCCTGACCTCATGTCCATACCACCTCACCATCTGCCACCCTGTCTTACTTACTAATTAACCAAAATGAAGCCGTTCCAGGCTCCTGGCACTCCCTTAAACCCAGCACACATGTCTCAACATTTCTGGTTTTTCCCTATTTTCTTATTTTGTCT